TGAGGGCTCCTCCCTGACTCTCGGTCCCTGCACCTGCCCCTACTGGACCTTCTCGAGTGATGTAAGGAATTCATTCTACTGGGGTTCGAACTCAGGACCTTGCTCTTGAGAGGCAAGCAGCAGCACCACTGAGCTAAATCCCCTGCAAAGAATGTCCCCTGTCTTCTAACATCTTTCACAACTTTAACGTCTCTTCACAACAGATTCCTAAAACATTCCAATACCTATTCCCACATGTCCAGGGTAAAGTTCATCCTTTTCACAAAGACTTGCGTGGTACTCATTGTGTTTTTCCGCTTTCTCAAAATCAATTGGTTTTGCTCAGATAAAAATGATAACAAACCTGTGGGTTTCAAAATCTCAAACTGAGGTCAGTTTGGGCAGTTCTGGCACACTGGTTGTGCATCTGAAGTGAGCTCCTGTGCGTGCTGAGCTTGGGGTCCTCTTATCTAAGGGGGGGCATCGCCTGCCACCTTCACGTCATGCCGAGAGAGGCCCCTGGTGATGGGCCAAAGCTTAGTACAGTGAATCCATCCCCACCAGGGCATCAGGGACAACAGTAGAAAGTTTTTTGAAACATTCAAGACAAAAATAGAAGTCCAAAAGCCATGCATAAAAGAATGACTAAGAACACTGTGTACAATGCAGGTTAAAATTTCAGTATAATAATTGATGTCATAAATTCAAAAACATTTATCAGACACATAATAGAATGCAGATCATGCAAAATGTCACAGGTCAGTAAGAAAAAGACAAAATTGCAAAAAAAAATGATAATCTGTGTAAATAATTCACAATTTACAGAGAAAAAAATCTAATGCCATGAAATGTGAAATGACAGCCTTATCTCACGATAATATGGGAAATTAAAATTAAAACAGTAAATCACATCTAGCCCACTACATTGTTCAAGATTCAAATTGATAATCAGCGTAAGTTCTTAAAAGTATAGTGGAATTAGTATTCCTATACTGAACTAGTGGGATTATAAATTGTTAGATGATATTTAGAGAAATATAGAAGTTTGTGTTAAAACTAAAAATGTCCACACCTGAGGATTAGCAATTCTATTCCCAGGAAGATAACCCAGAAAGACATTTTCATAGTACATACTAAAAAATAATGGAAAAGTAAATCCTGAAAAATCGTACAACACAGGAATCACCCTGGATACAAGAAATAATGAGGTGGACAAATAAAATATGATACAATCATATGAAGAACTATTCTTTAGCAGTTAAAAGTCATACGCTTGATCTATATGTATCAATGGGTATTCATGTGACAATATTGCATTCATAAAAATACATCACAATTCTCACTGAATAGTTAACAAGTACAGCGCTTTGAAGTTTTTTATATGGATTAGGTTATTTAATCTCCTGAATTACACCATGAAGCAGACAGTACTTTATTCCCATTTTACAGATGCAGAACCAGAACCGGAACCCAGAGAAGTCAAAGCCACAGCCCCGGGCCCCGCATCGGTGATCTTGAGCCATGGGGCTCAATGCAGGGGAGGACAGCCAGCATCCCACAGTGCCTGTCTCGAGAAAGTGGGAGGGGCTCCACCGAACTCATCGAGATGTTGCCTTGGCTGGAAAGTTTGTAGGGTGACCAGGATGGGAAGAAGATCGGAAAGGACTATGGTTTCATCTTCAGCGTTTTAATTTTTATATTATGAAACAACATGTTCATTTGCCATTTGTCCATAATTATATCGGAAAAAATCATATAGGAAAACAATGACAGTTGGTCAAGGTATTCACAGGAGTTGATGATGAACACAGGGAATACGAGTGATCAGTTTTCTTGTACTTTGATGCATTTTTCAGTTAGGAAGGAAAAAAGGGAGGGAGGCAGGGAGGGAGGGAGGGAAAGAAGGGAAGGGAAGAGGAAGAAAGGATATCTGGAGACAGCCCCCCAACACACACACAAGAAGGGAAACTTGGGGCCAGGATAGCTGTGTGTTTCACAAACCCCAGGGCAATTCGTCAGTGCAGAGACAGCGGTGCTCAGCAGAGGTGTGGGGTGTCACTGCGGGGTCGTGGGCTGTCGACCCTGAGACCCGGGGCTCAGACCCGTCTGCACTGCACATGAGCTGTGTGGTCATAAGCAAGTTATCCAGCCTCACAGAACTTCAGCTTTCTCACCCTTAAATGAGACCATGAAGTTTAATAGGATCAACAAGTCCTCCACAAAGAAGCCACTCATCTGTATGACCAATATGTACTAATACAAATGTGGAAAAGAAGGTTCTTCATTACTGAGACTATTATGTGCTTGGCTTATCACATAATGTGGTTCCACAAATACTAGAATGTTTCTTTCCCTTAACTCAGCACTTGGGATGTTTACAATTTAACTCTGAGTTTTACCAGGATGTTAATGTGTAAAGAGATATGGTGGCCTATGTAATTTCCAAAGCAATTCTTGAAATATTTACAGGAAAAACAATCTATGCATGCTTAACAGCCACCCTTTATTAATGGACCAGGACAGCAATCTCTGGTTTCCCCTCCATAAAATGGGTACGGGAACATTTTCCATGATTTGGGCAGGTGAGAGCTTAGGTAATGCTCCATCCAGCTCTGGATGTTGAATTATAGTGCCGATCATTTCTTTGGTTCGTTTACTATTATTTAATCTATTAACGCTGACTTAACCTCACTAGGAGAAAATGTGATGTGCTGCCTGATAATGCAAAGATGTGTCTTAGCGTTTTATCCCTGGGTAAGTCCTCTGTCTGTCTCTACACATCGCTGCCTCCGTCCAGCACTTACCCACCCTTCCTCTGGAAAGCCCGACTTCTTTTTCACCTTGTTTCTTTTTCCACTCTACAGTGACTCCTTTGTCCCCTTCCCTACTGTGCCCTTTGGAAGCAAATTACAATGCAAAGCCTGAACCTTAGGAGCACGAGCTGTGTTCTCCTTTGTAGAGAACAGAGTATCTACTTAAACTATGTGGAATCTTGTTGATTCTCCACTTACTTATATACTCATCTCTAGGCTTAATTTGATTAAAGAACTCCAGGTAAAATATTCTTTGAAAATCCAGAGCAGAAGAGTAAAATGATTCTAACTTCCTTTGCTCATATTTAAGTTTAATTTTGTTCTCACTTGAACAATTAGTGCACATAGATTTCTTCTGAGAAATAGCACAGACAAAACCCCCCTGCCTGGAGAATCCACACTCAGGGCCAGACAGGACTTCGTACACTGAGAAGCCAAATGCATCCTGCAAGTAAAGGGGACTGGCTCTGAGGACATGGGGACATGGAGCGAGTGATCCATTCGGGGATGCTTGGTAGGAGAGGACAGACCCCATTCGCTGGGAGGACAACATGTGCAGTCCCACTGGGCTCACCCTCAGCATCTAAGGCTTTTTGTAGCCCTCTGGAATTCTCCATAACGAATCTAGATTTGTGTTTGATGAGCAAAGTTCAGTGGGACCACAGAGCATGTGCTGGGTGCTCAGAGCCTCAGCCCGCACTGCAGTGATCCCACCTTCTGCCCCTCCCAGGTTCCCAGTGTGCTCTCTAGGGGCCTCGCTCCCAGCACCCTGGCATCAGAGATCCCTTCAACCTCACCTCATCGACTTGTCTTCCCTCCGCCAAGGGTGGTGCCCAGTGGCGAGGCTGGTGCCGAGGCCCCTGTTCTGCTGTCCCCTCTCCACCGAGGGGAGAAAAAAAGACAGAGAAAGGAGAAGACAATTAAGCATCCAGGACAAGTGGGCCTGGTGGCACAGGTCTATAATCCCAGTACTCTGGGAGGCTGAAGCAAGAGGATCCCAGGTTCCAGTCTAGGCTAGGCAAATTAGCAACTTAGTAAGACTCTTTTACAAAATAAAATACTAAAAAATGGGGGAGGGGCTCAAGATATAGATCAATGCAAAGGAACTGGGTGGATCTCCAGTATCAGGAAAATAAACCAATAAATAAATGACATGCACAGAATTTTTTTCTTGTTTTATTGTGTATCAGCACTTGTTTTCTATTTTTTGACATGCATTTTCACGGTGTAACAGGCCCTAAAAATTACAAAACCAGTTTGGTCTGAGGCAGTGCTGAACAACCTTTAAGAGGGTTCGGGAGTCAGAATGCTGTGATTCAAGTAACATCTCCAGCATTTACAGCATTTACAGCATCACATTGTTCCAGGCTCAAGAAGGTCTGAATGCAAGACACCAGTGCGTGCTGGGTACTGCGCAGACAGTCCTGAAGGCTAGCCTGCCAATGCGCTGGATGAATCATTAAAATGGTAGAAAGTAAAGCCTTTTTAGAAAGGAAAGGCCCAGCTAAAGCATTAGCAAAGCTCCCAGGAGAAATCTAGATTAGGAAACCATGCCTGCCTAAAGCCCCAATCAGCATTTCCTGAATTCTGTTCTCAAAATTCTTAAAATTGAGTCCACAGTAACAGGCTTGGAAAATAGTACCTACATTTGTCCCTTAGAACGACCTGCTATATGCACTAGAGTTTTATAGACTGTAAAAGTCCTACGTACAGAAATCAGATAGAATCATATAACCCCAAGTTTCCCTTACATATTGGTCATGGACTCTCTTTAACCACAAAGTATCTACCAATGCCTTGAGAAACATTAGCTGTTGTCTGGAACATAGTTTGGGGTTAATCTGCTTGAAAGAAGGGATGTTGTCTTTTTTATTACTTTATGCATAGACATGGAAGATAATCAATATTAATTTAGTGAATTAAAGAATCAGTGATTCATTTAATTGTGTCTTGTTTCACCTATGATCATATCCAACATGTATTTAGCAATTTTCAAACATGATTGCATCACAGGGTCCCTTTTGCAGCTAAGCAGATGTGAAATATCAGGACCCCAGTATGAATGGAGAAACGGAAACTCCAGAGACGAATTTAACTAAGTCCACACAGCTGGTTCATGCAAGAGGTGGAGTGGAAGCCGGGTTCCAGCTTAGGTTCTATGCCACTTGCTCTGTGCCTCCCCAAGACAGACACGGGCCAAGCACTCACCTCAAACAGGCGCAAGACTTTGGCCAAGGCACCGACCTCTTCTTTGAGGGAGAAGATCAGCGAGATGGCGCTATCTCGGCCGGAGCTGTCTTCGATGTAGCTCGTTCCCTGCAGAGTTAGACGCACTCCATTAGAACGCTTTCAACACCTTGGGAAATTCTTCCCATGAAGCCTCCAAGGGAGAAGCCAATGGGATCTTCCCCTTGTTAAACCCTAAAATAAATAAGCTATGTGTACTCTATAAAGAAGTACATCGTGTGTTGGTAGGTGAGTCAAGGGGAAGGAAATGCTCAGTGATGCTCTTGCATCCATTTTTGTTTTGGTGACCCATGGGCGTCAGCAGTCAAGCATCAGCCACTATTCACTTTGTATCTCTGAGAGACACAGAGATCCGTATGGCAACCCTCCTACCCTTTGGGAGCTAAAATCCTCCCTTAATAAACACATTTACAATGAACCAAAACATATGTAGAGGCAAATTAACACAGCTCAGATAGCTCCCAGAGGACATTGGCAAATACCCAGAGGACACTGGAGAGTACTCAGAATGGTCACAGGCTTTGAACTTAAAGACAGCTTAAAATCCTCTCTCTTCCAGTGTCCTGCACCACTTTGGGCAAATCCCTCAGCCTTTTTTGTTTCCTCAGTTATATAATCACATTGCTCATAACTCTTACCAAAACAAATTCAGATGATGAAGGAAAAAAAAGAGATAAGTTTGAAAAGAATATTAAAAGAAGTATAACTGCTAAGCTTTTGGCAAAATCTCGGGAAGCATTAACTCACTCCTATATGCTGGGACCTGAGATTTCCATTTCTGAACAAGAGTCACAAAATGTGTAAAAGTACACAAATAACCTATCAGAACGTGAATGCTTTTCAATAAATAGCGAAGAACATCAAGGGTCTACCACATACTCTACGTGTGAGACAGCCAAAGGAGGTGGGAGACAGGTACACATTCCAGAGTCTGCCACACTTCTCCCCAAGTTTAAAGACTAAGTCTTGCTTTTAAAATGATGCACACCATCAACATACAGAATTTCCTAAAAACTGGGAGGAAAAAATGTGCAGGACAATTAGCCTTCTGTGAGCAAGTTAAGGAAATTAAGGGTCTGGGAGTCACAGCATCTCTATGGAGAAGGCTGTGTGGGGCAGATTCTTATCAGCGACTCAGACAGTAAACACTGCCCCAGCACTGATGGCCCTTAGGAAAACTTTTTCAAAAATTCAGATTTTCCCAGAACTTCCCATGGAACAGCGATGTAGAGACGAGCCCAGTTTATCAGCAAGTGGAGTTAGAGTGCTCCAAACACCTCAGAAGACTGAACGGTCATAAATCCCCATTTAGAGCATGATGCTATCTTTTAAAAGGAATTCTCATGTGCGAAGAGCCTATCATGGTCCAGGAATCTAAGGAGTGCTTGATGTGAATGATCTCATTGAACTTTGAAAGTGTCCTAACAGATCGGCTTTCTTATTCACCAGCCCCCTTTGCTGGTGACAGGTCCAGCGGGTGCCCTCCGGTGCCACAGGTCACCATGGGGCTGGGATGGAAGCGGAGTGCTGGGTCCCTGCCTACCATGCCCGGAAGGCAGGCGACCTGTTGCAGGCTGTTCCTCAGTGGCACTCAGGTCTGACCTCAGTCTCCTCCTACCGTGGAGTGCTGGCTGCCTAGTCCTTTCTGCCTTCCTCGAAAACACAAAGATTTCTCTGTCTGTGGTTCACGTAGCAACTTTCCTCTCCCCAGCTGACCTCTAGGAAAGGCGACTCATTCCTGCTGCTGATCAGCACTGGCCACCTTCGGCTGGGGCAGCTCAGACTTGAGAGTGCCTCTGCCCGAACCCAGTCACCCCTGCCTGTGTTCCTCTGACACCAAGTCCAACTCTGTCTCCCCCAGGAACGACTCTTGTCTCCACTGCCATCGCGGGGGTGCCGCTTAGTGGGCCACGTGGATTCCCCCACCCCCGAAAAGAATTGGGCCCAGGTCCGTCTGGACTTTCTGAAGCGCTCTGGACGATGTTTAACTATGGAAAAATCTCAAAATCACTGATAAATAGGCAGGCTGTGTGTTTAAAGTGTGGCTTCCCTCAAGTGTGTCTTCAAATTTACCTTTACTGTATGATAAGGCGCTGTGAGACTGTGGGTGACTACCGCCCCTGACTGGGTGCCCAGCATTTGCCAGGGGCCGTGCTGAGTACTTTGAACCCTTAATATACTTCCTCTTCGGCGGTGAGCAGCTCGTCTCTGAAGCTGTGCATACACACTCTCCCGTCCTCACCAGGCCAGTGCTCTCCTCTTGGGAGTGAAGGAACAGACTCAGCGAGGTGAGGCAGTCATCTAAGGGCCACCAGCTAATGAGTAACTGAGCCTGAACAGCGGCATCAGTTCCCCGAGTCCACCTCCAGGAGCAGGCTCACCCAGGACGACAATGTCTCCTTGTCATCATGAGCGGGAGTTGAAATGAAAAGACGCTCCTGGAAGTTTCTGAGACAGTACGGCCCGGCAGGCTTGCATTCCTGATTCTGACTCTGCTATGTTGGCCCAGCAGATTACAGACCTTTGACAAACTCTTCCTGAGTATTTTTTCACCCTCTCATGAGCTGTGCCTCACTTATTTCCAACAGATTTGTGAGTTGATGTGCACACATGGATATCCCGGATGGGCACAAGGCAGAGAAAAGTAACTCACAAACTCGCTGGGAAGAAGTAGGGCAGGAGAAAAGAACTTTTTTAGGAACCAAGAATCAAAGAATTTCGCTGGTTGAACAACAAATGTGTTCACCATAGAAACACAACATGGTCCTTCCGGTTGTGTCTAAGAAATGTGTTCTGTTGTCTTTAGAAAAGAGCAGATTTCAGATTTATAAGCAACACATTTTAGCAAGGATTCTCCAGGACTGCTGGCTTCCAACCTTGGTGCTTTGGGGGCTCTGAGGGAGACATGCATCTGTAGGTGCGAACACACGCACACACACACACACACACATATACACACACACTGTAAGGTGACTACGAACAAGATGCAAATCCCACAGCACAATACGTCTGCCCGCAGCCAGCACAAACCCCGTCTAGCTCCACACCCATCATTTATCTAGAAGGAAAGCATTGCAGGAAAGAAATGTGAGCACCGTTGTTGGAGTCAGATCAAGGTTTAAACACCAGCTCCACTGTCCACAGATGTGCTTTCTGCGTCCCTTAGATGCCACGTTGATTTTTCTAGTTTTAATTGCTGATCGCTTGCCCGAGGGTAAGTCGTGGCGGGGCAGGAACTGCTCTGCCAGCGTGGCACACAGCAGTGCTCCGTAAGTCTCGGCTGAGTGACGGGAAGAGCTAACTCCCTCCTACACAAGCTGTGCTTGCTGCCCCCTCTGCCCCAGCGCTCGGGGTCCTCCCGACCAGCCCAGTTCGCAGACTCCCAGAGCAGGAAGGAGTCCAATCCTGTCCGCCTCGGCCCTGTACATACCACGCTGGACCTCATTAAGCCGAACAAGCGACTTCCCCAACGCACAGCCCACACGGACCCTCTCCCTCCTGACTGCGCGCCCGGCACCCTTTCCTGGAAGAGGCGGCCCCGGGCACAGTGCCCGGTCTCGCTGCCAGAGTTCGGGACTGTGTTGAGAGTAGGTAGACGTCCCAGGCCCCTTTCCTATACTTTTCCTATACTCCAGGAACTGACAAAAAGATGCACGGCATTACTTCATTTAACTTTCATACCGACCCTAGGATGTGGCTGTTTTTATTCCTACTTTGCAAAAAAAAAAAAAGTCTGGGGCTCTGGGAGTCAAAATACCCGTGTTGGGTGCAGAAGTGAGACCCGGGCACGCTTGAAATCCGCCTGTCTACCAGGGCCCTGCCCTTGGCAGTGACAGCTTGTGTATTCTGGATCTTCTAAGAGCTACAGAAACCAGACTTCAAGACACCCTGGCTCCCCGACCTGCAGGCTGCCAGACCACTCTCTGGGCTGGGCGGAGGCCTTTCTCCTAGGATCCCGGACAGCCGGGCCAGATTCCCGGGGTCTCTCCTTTCGCTCCTCCTGGACTCCACCTTCCTCTCCTCTCTCGCCCCCTAGTGGTCCTTCCTAATCCTGCAGGCTCAGGTCCTCTCGGACCTCAGAGTGATTTCCGGCCTGAAGTGGGGATGGGTGCAAGTCAAGCTGTGAAATGCGCCCTGCAACTGCTCACCTCCGGAAAGTACTGACACAGACCCTGGAGCGTAGCGCCCACGCTCTCACTCTCCCAGGACACCTAGGGTGCTGAGTCGTCGTACACTTGGGGTAATGACGTTCATCTCCCTCTCTGGGCAGTTTCTCCCTTTCCAGGTCAGAGGCGGTTTCCGGGCTCTCTTCATGCTTTCTCTTCTCCCCAAAGTTCAAGGGAGATTTAGTTTCCCACAATTTACCGTCTTTGTAACTGGCCAAGAGCACTTTATAACCATCACAGAAGACCTCGAAGGTTCTGCCCCATATCATGAACGACCAGCTCTTTCAGTTTAGAGAGAGAAAACAGGAAAGACAGAGGGGCTGCGATTTGTCTTAAGACACACAGCCTGTGGGTTGCAGCTCTAGGCATAGGATCCCCAACCCCTAAAACAGGGCTCTTTCTCCCTGAAAACCACGCAGGATGGTTGTGCTTCCATTTGGGGACAGCTGTGAAGGTCAGAGCTACCCAATGACTTCTGGCCCTCCTCACTTCCTGTAAATGAATTCAGACTTCTTGACAATCTCATGAAACTAGGAAGATCAGTATTTTCTATCTCCGACCTCTCCTCCCAGACCCGCGCCAAGGCCTGGGGACTGAATGCTGGGCTACTTCTGCTGCCCTCCTCATTTCTTATTTTGAGACAGAGCCTCAGCAGGTTGCTAAGATGCCCAGACTAGGCTTGAACTCAGGATCCTCCTGATTTAGCTCCCAGAGTGCTGGGATTACAGGTGTGCACCGCCACACCCAGCCAAGACCTCCTTCTCCCTGGGCAGCTGAGGCCACCCTGGCTCACCTGCCCAAAGTCAGAGAATTTTTGGCCCAAACCTCCATTCTCCAGGACCATGGCTGACATGCTGGCTGCTGGCAAGAGCTGTGTGCGGCACCAGGCGTCAGTCCAGCAGGTTAGCAGCCAGCACGGGGCAGAGCGTTTTAACCCAGCACGGGGTGTGTCCTGACGCGTCACCTGCAGGGTCACAGCCCCGGTGGGTGTTTCCCTGATGCAGCAGGGTGAGAGGAGAGATCCCAAGGGCCTGGCAACCTGTGAGGCTGTGCTTCGCAGCCTGCCCTGGACAGAGGCCGAGGCCAGGGAGCCCAGGGCCACCATGCCCGGGAGTGGGCAGGCTCAACATAGACTGTTCTCGGGAGCCCTGACAGCAGCTTGGCCCCAAGGGGCGTGAACCCGCCTGTGCCCGGTGCTGACAATCACGGAATAATTCCCTCCTCATTCTGGTACAAACACGGCCAGGGTCTTCATTTAGATGTTTTTCAGACCCTTCTATTGACCACTCAGCAAACTGCCTGGCTGTGCTTTGTCTTTGGAAATCTGTGTAGCGATGACGTCTTGGACTCGGAGCGCAGCAGCTGAAGAACAGAGGTAGGGGTTGCTGGGGTTGAAATCGATCGCAGGTTCTGCAGGGACTTACATAACCCGGGGGCTTCCAGCAGAGGACAGCAGGGCAGGAGTCAGAGGGACGAGGCAGTGCATGAGGTCCACTCCAGTTCTCCCCACACAACCCCGCACTCGGTAAATGATCATACACTTGACAGCAACAGGACCACACCGTGTGCAGGTGGCCTTCCCTTCCCCGCCTCGTGAAATCACTGGGGGACAAAACACAGGAGGGGTCCCCATCATGCTGCCGGGTAAACAGCCGGGCTATAGCTAGTGGAGGAGGCTGGGCATGGGTTTCTGGGAGGCAGGACACCGCTGTGAGCCCCCTCTCACCACACAAGGCCACGGAGCTGGGGTGTGGATCACTAGCAGAAAAACAGAAGCAGAAAGCACTGGAGAGTTAGAGTTTCAGGAAAGATGCAAAAATATCAGGGACAGGAGGCCTTGAGGGCTTGCTTAATATTTACCCGAGTGAGGTCAACTGGCTGTGAGACCGCAGGCCAATAACAGAGGTTGCTGGGAGCCCATCCCTTTCCTCCCACTATTCTTTGACCTGAAAGCTAAGCACCTGCCAAAAAAGACAAAAAAACTCAAGTTTTGGATTAAAAACAAGTGGGTTCATTCCTGGTTTTACCACTGAAGAGCTGCATTTGCTGTCTTTAAAATAGGGCTTTAAGGGCTAATTTGGCTTCCTCCCACCTGCAACGTGCCTGGCTTTCTCCTGGCTGCCAGGGGCACAGGCACAGGGAACAGAGCATCTGTCACCAGATGCATGGGTGTCTGGTCTGTGATCCCCTTGGCACGGCGAGACAGGACACAAGGCTGTTGAACGTGGAAGGCCCAGACCTGGACTTCCGTCCCCAGAGAAGCCTTATGACCGCAGATATATACATAGATAGATAACTAATGGTGGTTGCTGAGTGCACACACATTCTTTGGTTTTACGTTTGTTTTGGTGCAGAATACCCCTTAGTGTGTATCCACCAGTCCAGTATCTGCATTCCACAGTGATGGATAACTTAGGTTTCTTCGCAAGCCCAAATAATGCTGCAGTGAGCATCCTCGTCCCTGTTCCTTTCTAGATAGTCCTGGGGGTAAACTTTTCAGGGCAGATGAGCAAGGTTCTGTGTCACAGAGAACATAAATTCTTAATCTCCCAAGTTATACCAGGCTTCCCTTGGTTTAGAGTATAGTTTGTCCCAGTCCACACTCCTGCCAGCAGGAGAAAGGAGCCTGCTGTGGAGTATCCCTAATTCTCAGCATTCTCCAAAAGTCATAATTGGGTCATTTATTATTTCACCAATCTGATCAGGATGGAGGGGTTTCTTGCTCCTGCTTTTAATTTGCATTTCTTTTGTAACTCTTTATACCCTGATGCTACTCGAATTTCCCATATCGTGACCAACACGTCTTCCACCTGCTCTCTTCTAGGCTCCTGTCTTTTCTTGCTGTGCAGTATGGACTTGCACATTGCACATACCTGCCTCATACCTGTCTCGCCTCCCTGAAGACGCCCTCTCCTGGGATGCCACGGCTGCTGTCCCCTGGCTGTCCCCTCTCTGTCACCCCCTTCTTTCCCCTGTCATCTTACAGTCTTCCCTTCCTCTTTTAGATCCTTCTCTTCTGACTATAAACTATGGAAAGACTCTGTGGTTGTTTTTTCTTCTTTCTCCAAGTTCACGCTAGGCACTGACCCTTTCCTCCACTGACACTTTTATGTCTGTTTCCTAAGATGGGTGGGAGGGGTTTTCTTGGGTCAAGCATGGCCAGAGACTCCGTTTTGACTATTGATCCACGTACTCCTTTGATCAGGCTCAAATGTACACCAGAGCCCAGCTCTGAGACTGAACAGGATTCCAATGGTCTACTCTATCGTATCTCTTTTTGTTTCATAATCACATTGCATTTATTTATATAGGATTGTTGGGAAGTGTATCTTACCATCTGGTTGGCAAGTGCCCTTTCTTGATCTTATTTTTCCCAATGCTTACTTATGTACTAATGGATAGACAATTTCCAGATGAAATTTTGATTGCTTTCACTCTGAACTCATTGGTTCATCTGGGGACACGAAATAGTAGCAGTTATAGTAAGAGCACATGTTGGATCTCAGCCTTGTTATGAACAAAGCCCAAGACTTTCCATTAATGTTAGGCCTGGTGTAGGTTTTTGATGTTCTAACCATCATCAGCTTTACAAAGTCCCCTCTGTGTCTGTGGTGTTTTTTGTCCTGATGTGTTGGGTGGAACGATTGCCTTCCTGGAATCCACTGAGAAAATTCTATGAGGTGCTCTTTTTAGTCTATGAATGAGGAGAATTGACATAGAAAGATTTTTCAGATTTTTCTTTACTTGATCATGTATATTAATTTTGAGTAAACTGTTAGATACGGTTGGTTCATGTTTTATGTAGGATTTCAATATCTATATTAGTGAAAAAGAACAATTTCATTGCTTGTACCATTACCCCACTTTGAAACCAAGATTGTAGTAGCCTTTTACAGAAAGTGTTAGAGCTTTCCCCATTTTTATGATTTCTGGAATAACACATAGAAGATTGAAAACATGTTTGTCTTGAAGATTTAGTGGGCCTTTTGTAATTATACTGGGCTTGATATCTGGGGAGGGGCCATGGAGTAGTAGATTACATTGTAATTTATTCAACTATTGTTTGCCTACTTAGGTTTTTTAATTTCTTCTCACTTTATATTTTCCCAGACATTAATTCAATTATCAACATATTGTGGTTCATGATGTTAGTTTTTATTTTAATGCCCCATTTGCTTCTAAATTTATTCTCTCATTTTTGTTCTATATTTCATTTACTGTACATCTTTTTTGTTCATTAAGAATCAGCATTTCATAGAACTGATCTTCCCTAGTTTCCTCTTATTTATTTCTTTCTACTTGTCATTTCTTTGTGTTTGACTTGTTGATCTTTTTCCAACATCTTTCATTGAATACTGAATTCATTTGTTTTCAACCTTCTCTGTTTCCTGATACATATATTTAAAATGAAATATTTCTGAAAACT